CCACTTGATGCATCAACTAGTCTTCTCTCCATTGGTAACAATCCCTCATAGAAGTGTTGAATGAGGAGATGTTCCAGAATTTGGTGTCGTGAGCAACTATAGCACAAGTTGTTGAACGTCTCCCAATAATCATGAAAAGTCTCATTTTGACCTTGGCGGATTCCACAAATCTCATTTCGAAGTGGGATAGAATTTATCAAGAAAATCTCTTGCCATGTCGGTCTATGAATTGATCGACCCCGGAGGAAGATAAAATAACCAATCCTTTGCTCTATCAGCCAATGAAAAAGGGAATGCCCTTAGCTTGATTTGGTCATCGGTTGACCCTTGTGGCTTCATGCTAGTGCAAATAATGTCGAACATCTTCAAGTGCTTATGCGGGTCTTCGTTCTTCAATCCATGTAAAGTTGAATGGTGATGGACTAAACTTGACTTCAATTCCGAACCTCCTTCCAAAACCGGGTAATTGATACCGGTTGGAGTTTGTGTAACATCGGTCTCTATCATTTGCCTCAAAGTCTTTCGGGAACCTCTCCTCCGTCCGCCATTGCAATTGGTTTAATATTCGTAAACCCCTTTATTTTTGTCCATAGATTTTATAAAACATATATTACGTTTTAAATTAGAATTCTATTAAAGACACTTAAATCTCACCAAAACTAAAATGAATTAAATTAGGAATTCTATTAATGACAATTAAATATCACCAAAAATAAAATGAATTAAATTAGGAATTCTATTAATAACAATTAAATTTCACAAAAAAAAAAAAAAAAAAAAAATACTCTGCCTGCCTCAATTCTTTACATAATATATCTAACCTAAGTTTTGTAGAGGAGAAGAAAATTGGGGAAAACAGGTTGGTTTGATTAAACTTTACGATTTAGATTTGTAGTCGAATGACTGAAATTATAAATACATCAGAGAAAGGTATGAAAACAAGTAACTCAAATTCCACTTGTCAACTTTTTAGAAATCTCATATATGTTTATTTCTTGATAACTAATATTTGTACTATTTATCGATATTTGTGCTAAAGTTGTGACAACATTAAATGATTGTTACTCAAGTTGCTTGATTTTTTTTTTTTTTTTTTTTTGATTTCTTGTAGGTCGAAATTGCAGTTGACAAACAACAGAAATGGTTAAATTCATTTGGGTTCTTGTCAATGTAAGGAAAATATAGTTTGATTTTTATGTTATGAAGGTGTGAAATTTTGTGGTTTTAAAATTAATTGTCACAGTTGTGTTATTTAGAAATTTGAATCGGACATTTCTATGAGATTCCTCATTTTTTCATACTTTTGATGAATTGTTCAATAAGTTGAGCAATCGAGTTATAAACGATAGACTCATACACAATGTATGTAATATGCTTTGCTTTTGGTTGTTAAAATCACAACTTTGTTTTTTTGGATATGTTAGGATTTGAGACCTTGATTTGTATACTTGGAAATTTTGTTTGGTCTACCTATCTACTACATGTTCGATGAAATGCGTAAGAGAACAATATTGGGATAAACCTACGGCCTGATTTAAATTACTTTAAAAATATATTGGTTTAAATTACTTAAAAAATATATTTGTCGATTTTTGTTATCCTTCATGGTTTAAATTTGTATATTTCTCCTTAAAGTTTCATGTTTCATTCCTTATATTTCTTTGTCTATGTTTTAGTTATAATGCCTTCTTTGACTCTTGATCACATTGGTTAGTTTCTCATACTAAGTTTTCTTTGAAAATTATATTTAATTGCAAGTTATTGCACTATCTAAAACCCCAATAATCTCTAATATTTGTATAAGATGGTGACACTTATTATTTTTTATTGCAGCTTCTATTCATATTGATTACCCGATGTGGTTTGAGTTATGGAATGCTGCGACTGAAAGGATTCCAAATTGTGGGGCAATGGAATTCATTACAGAAGGAGGCATGATTTATATATCTTATTGGGTATTGATGGAAACATTTAATTCTTGCTCATGTAGATCGATAAATATTTTACAATATGTTCTTTTAACCTTATATTAGGACCTTTTTTGGAAAAAAATTGTTTTTAATGTTGAACTTTGAGAAAAAATGTTCATATATAGCATCATACTCTTAAAAAATGACATTTTTTGATTATTTTTAGTTGATATGGAAAGTTATATTTTTTGTATATTGAAGCTCATTTAAACGATTGTCTTTTAGAAAAAAAAAATTCATTAATAGCATTAAACTTTGCAAAAAAGTTTATTAATAGCATCGTAGTTTCAAAAAATGACATTTTGGTATTCTTTTTGGCTAATCCAGAAAAAATTTATTTTTTTCTACATTAGAACTCATTAATAGGATTTTTTTTAAACATTTTGTTAATGGAAAGTATATTATCATTTTATTTCGCATAATAGACCATTTATGTAAGAAAAACATTTCAAATATGGACTCTTTGTGTACTTTTGTTCACAAGTGATCAATTTATGTAGTATATGAATTTAATTGTTAATTAGTAGGTCATTAATGACAATTTTCTAGGAAAAATTTTTAGTATTGAAATTCGAAAAAAAAAAAAAAAAAAAAAAAAAAAAAAAAAAAAAAAAAAAGATTGATGACAATATATTAATTCATTTTGTATTCATCATATATATATATATATATATATATATATATATATATATATATATATATATATATATATATAAAAGTTATATTATAATTTAAGATTTTAAATAAGACATAACGATATTACCACCTTATAAAATAAAAATAAGATAGCAACGAATTAATTGATTCTCTATGTCAATATTTCATTATTATCTTTAAACGATTAATTATCTTCTAAAGTTTTGTTATATGAAAATTTTGTCAGATATATAAAATTAATCATGTTTTAATTTTTCAAATTATAAAAGTAATAATAGTTTATGTTTTTCATATATGAAAATCATATTACGAAAAAGAGTACTAACATCCACCCATTTTAAAATAAACTTCACATATTATTTTAGTTTTTAAATAGATATTTTGACAAAGTAACTATTTTTTTAGGATTAATGTTACGTGTTCTCTAAAATAAACTTATATATAATAGGAGATGATACAAGAACAATATATTACGTGTTCTTTAAAGTATAACATATTTTTGCTAAGAACATATGAAAATTTGCATTCATAAACAAGTCTTATTTTTTAACCAATTTGCTAATATTTATTGCAACACACCCTCCCTCTAAACCTTAAGCCCCTAAATAGTCATCTAAAACTGATCATCAAAAGAAACTATTTGGTACCATTGCATAACTAATAGTCAAAATAAATTATCTAGAGATTTGGTCCAAGGTTTCCTCTATGTCTGCATGAAGATGACATGTTAGCATTCAAACTGATAAGAAAACAATTTGTAATCAGATTCTGTTTCATGATGACAATCAATAAAGCTTACGAAGAAACAATTCCAAATGTAGATATTTATCTCCCATAATTAGTTTCACGCATGGCTAACTTTATGTTGCATTGTCTAGAGAGATATCATGTGCCAATACAAAAGTATTAGTGAACTCTGACGAACAGTTCAACGACAATGAAATTTATCTTTAAGAATCGTTTTGGAGGCAAGACCATTTTATTTTGAGATGGCTTTAGACAAATTCTTCTAGCAATACAAAGAGCCAATTGTTCAGATACTGTGCATGCATCATATTCATCTAAATTACGGCGTGATGTACAGTTTTACATTTAACCGTAAACATGAGATTTATTTTGGTTATCTAACTAATGATTTGGATGAGACAAAAACATTTGATGAGTGAATTCTTAAAATTGATGAAGGTAATACTAGCGACCTTAATGATGGTGAAGTTGAAAATGAATTTCCAGAAGACGTTGTTCGCTCTATAGGTGCCTATATTAATTCAATTGTATCCACCATTTATCCATCCTTTGAAAATCATCTTGATGATCAATCATATTTTCAAAATAAAGCTATTTTGGTCCCTACAAATGAAGAATTTGATGCTACCAATGACTACATTTTAGGATTGATGAAAGATGAAGGGAAAACATATATGAGTTCAAATTCTTTATGTGATATAGAGTTACCAAGTTTTTTTGAGGAATCAATCTACTCTTCAGTTGTGTTGAATGGTTTTAAGGTATCTAGAATTTCAAACCATAAACTTACACTAAAAATAGGTGTTTCAGTCATATTATTTTGTAATATCGACCAAACCAAAGGACTATACAATGGTACTAGATTATAGATTGTTAGGCTTCGAAGAAACATCATTGAAGCCTTAATCATATATGCTAGATTCTTTATCGATACTACTTATATAACTTGCATGAATTTAACTCCGTCTAATTAAAAAATCTCATTCCGTTTTCAGTGGAGGCAATTACCTATAGCAGTTTATTTTGTTATGACCATTAACAAAAGTCAATAACAATAATTATCAAATGTTGGATTCTAGTTGCATAAGCTCGTCTTCACTCATTTTCAGTTATATATTTTTTGTTTCTCGCGTCACAAGTGAAAAGGGATCGAAGGTACTCATATATTATGAAAAAGATTGTCCAACTAATAAAACAAAAAGTTATGTTTACAAAGAGGTTCTTCACTATTATAGATATTCAAGTGTTTACTTGTTTTTTTCAAACATTTAAATGTTAGCAATAATGCTAAATCTGTTTATGTTACTTTATTTTTTTATAGTGTCAACTTTTTTATACTTTTACATGTATATTTTTATATGTTGCCCGTGTTTTACGCAGGTTATAATCAACTTGTAGGTGTTAAATATAACAAAAATGGTACTTCTTATTTGCATAGGGAACGCATGAATACATATGTTAGGTACAATTCTCCCCAATAGATAAGCAATTTTGACGGATTAATACATGACACATTCGTTATCCTTATTTCATCCGTACCCATGGTTTCCGTGGCTATGGGTCTCGTTTTACTAAAGCAGTAAAGCACCCTTGAAATGAATTCTATTGACTAAAACACCAGTCATATCAAATCTTGAGATTTATGGAGTGTTTGAGGTCTCCTATTTGAAGAACATGGCGCCCTAATGGAAGCTTCATGTTACCATCTTTATCAACCACGCTCAATTGCTTGCAAACATCGACCTTAAACTTAATCGAAGTTTGGTTCCATGGTCCCAACTGCACCCTCTTGAAATCCAGCAACTGTTTTTGAGGCGAATTATATATCACCTGAGGTGGATAAGAGAACAACAAGACCGAGTGGCTTCCGGCCATCTTTCCGATGTTTGTTACCGTAATTTCAACATCAAATGATTGGCTACCACAAACCTTGTCAGTTGCATCAATTGATTTGCAGGTAGATTTCGAGCATTGACCAGTGGCTGGTTTCTTTAGTGAGATTGTTAACTGTTTGGGTGCTTTAACGAGGTGATGAACGTATAATGAGTAACTTAATCCATAGCCAAATGGGTAAACTGTTTCGCCTCTATAGAATCGATAGGAGCGACCTGGATAGCCTGTCGACGGGTCTGCCCTCATGTTCATGTTGCTCATGGTCACTGTATCCGTATACGATCGTGGATACCATGTCATGGGTAGTCTTCCACCTACAAACGTAATCAAAGTGGTGTCACTTTTAGTTGCATGATTTATAATTATTCCGTTAGTAAAATATACATTTAGCAACGGATGTTATTTGAGTTTGTAAATTTCGTTGGTGTTAGCAAAGTACCTGGATTATAACGACCAAAAATGACATCAGCCAAAGCACCTCCTCCTTCTTGTCCAGGTAACCCAACCCACATAATGCTAGTAACTTTTGGGTTACATTTTGCAAAACTAACATCAATCCCACCTCCCGACATGACAACAAGAATCACCGGTCCTCTAGCTGCATATGCAACCTCGGAAACAAGAAGGTTTTGTTGTCCAGGAAGATCTATTTCTGTCCTATCTAGGGCTTCATGCTCTATGGAAAGATCTGTGCCCATAACTAGAACCACGGCATCTGCTTTCGCAGCAATGTTCTTGGCCTTTTCGAATCCCTCAGTAGAGTTACACATCACATGATCACACCCTTCCTCGTAAAGAGTTTCAACTGAATCTGACAGACCTTGTAGAGGAGTTGTGTATTTGCATGGAACTCCTGCGTAGTTGCCAATCATGGCTACCGTGGCATTAGCATTAGGCCCGATTACAGCTAGTGACTTGATATCTGATGGAAGAAGTGGCAAAGACCCTAAATTGTTCTTAAGTAACACAATTCCTTGTCTAGCAGTTTCACGGGCTAGATCCTGGTTGGCTTTGGTGCATACGTCTTTCTTGCCTAATTTTCCGTACATTTGCTTGCTTGGGTTACCATCGAAAAAACCAAGCCTCATAAGTGTCGTGAAACTGTTTGTAACAGCCCGATTCACCATTGTTTCGTTCACTAACCCCTTCTTGACTGCACTTGCTGTGAAGTTCTTTAGTGAATCCCCGCAGTTAAGATCCAACCCTGTTAAAATCCACATTCGAAACAATTAATAAAGGAACTTAATTAATCATTAATATTGTACAATAACCACTGGAGTTACCTGCGTTTAACGCATCTGCTGTAACTTGTTCTGGTGTTTTCTCATATCGCATGTCTTTGAACATGACGTCTAATGAATCACAATCGGAACTAATGTATCTGTTGAACCAAAAACAAGGATTACATATTTTTAATTGTAGAATGCAAGTAATTAAACTATGCATCAATTTGCTCAACACTTTACCCATTTAATTTCCATTTTCCCCGAACTGTATCTTCCAAAAGCTCCTTATCGCCACAAGCGGGAACACCATTAATTTTGTTGAAAGAACACATAATACTCGCAACATTTCCATCCAAAACACACTTTTTGAATGGTAGGTTGTATGTATCCTCCAAATCTTGCTGTGTTACCTACAAAAGTGAAAAGCAATTTCACCCCTCGAACTTACGATATATAAAACTTTATACTAATTAAGCTTTCATTTCAATAAATAAACTTACGATGGCATTGAAATGGAATCGATCAACGCTAGTCCAATTATCAAGATCATAGGCAGTGTAATGTTTACAACAAGCTCCGATTTTGAGTCGATCTTCATCACCATCCTCTGTTTCTTGTAAACCTTTAACATAAGCAACTCCATATCTACTTGCTACGAGTGGATCCTCTCCTGGTGTTTCTTGCCCTCTTCCCCATCTCGGATCTCGGAAAATATTCACATTTGGTGACCAGAATGTTAATCCTGCTACACCAGTATTGTACATTGCTCTAGCTTCTGTCGAAACCACCTATATGATCATCAAGCTTTTGTACATTATGATAATGACTTACAAACATAAAAAGCAAAGAATTCAAAAACAAATATAAATACTTTTCCAAGAAGATTCCATAGAGATTCATTGAATGAGGCTGCAGTGAGGATGACTTGTGGGTAGCTAGTAGCTCCAGGCACTACAGTTTTGTTGAACCAGGTTGCAGGTCCGGTGTCAGAAACGCCATGCAAAGCCTCCGACCACCACCCATAAGATGGTATCCCAAGGCGATCTATGCTATCGGCTACACTCACAATGCTCCCCGCTTTTCTTGCAATGTCATCATGTTTACTAAATCATTAACCCGTGTTTTCACATCGAGTGAAGTGTTACAGAACAGGAATTTCTTCAAGCCTGGATTATTGTCTGTGTCGCAAGCAAAACGAGGGGAGTATTGAGCCGAAACAGACAGGAAAATGGAGAGGAGAAAGGCAATGGCGAGTAGAAGAGGGAAGTGTGGATTAGTTTGAGAAGCCATGGATGGTCTTTTTGGAAAGGAGAGGTGATCAGTGTGAAGAAAGGATGTTGTGGGAATGGGTCTTTATAGGTAGAAATGTACGAGAACTGATATTAGTAGCTGACTGTTGGTAGTACCTTCTGTTAGACCAATGTTCTCGGGGATCTAGACAGCAAGGAGTGGTGTTACCGTGTTAATTGCAATGTTTTCTTAAGCAGTTTGACCATTTACCCACAATATCCTGTTTTTCGGACCATAATTCATGTCCCATGAACCAACACACAAACCATTGCTAAGATAGTCACTAATTTTGACAGAAGTAATAACCCTTTTTAACTTAATTAACATTTTATTTTTATTGAAAGAATAATTTGTACAGATGGTTGGTCTTTGTTGGTAACATAACGTTTTAGATGATGAAACTCGAATGATATATATTACGGCCTTTAGTAATGCCAAAACTCGTTGTTAATTGTTATAGATAGCAAATTGGTCGCTAACAGTGTAGTCGTTATTGTTTGCGCTTGATTGGTAATCTAATACAATAAATTAAGATAATTTTGCTACATGTTAATCTTTAATGATTTTTGATATTTATTATTTTGTAATATTTTTTAAATAAATAACATTTATATGTTAATTTATGTTTTTTTTTTTTAATTTTTAAAATTAAAAAGCCACATAATACTTTTATTTATATATATATATATATATATATATATATATATATATATATATATATATATATATATATATATATATATATATATATGTGAAGTATCAAATATAATAAATATTATACTAAATTGCAATTAATATATTTATTCATTCCTTATTTCAAAATTTTATTTTGAAAAATACTTATTAATTACATTTTAATATTTTATTTTATTTTAATCAACTCGTGTAATATACAGGTTTTACATATAGTCTACTATAATAAATAAAGATAATTTTGCCAAATTTCAATCTCTAATGAGTTTTAACACTTATCATTTTGTGATATTGTTTAAATAAATAACATCCATATGTTAATTTATGGTTTTTTTTTTCAATTTTTAAAATTAAAAAACCACATAATACTTATATTTATATATGTAAAGCATCAAATGTAATAAATATTATACTAAATTATGATTAATATGTTTCTTCATTCCATATATCAAAATTTTATTTTGAAAAATACTTATTATTTACATTTTAATATATATATATATATATATTTTTTAATCAACCTGTGTAATACACGAGTTTTACACTTAGTATACTTATATAGGCGATCTCTCGTTGCAGAACTCCATTTGTATAACCACTTACCTTTTGAAAGGTAACAATAATTAGGTACTAAGGCTGGTAGGTGTTGGCTCGGCGAGGGGCTCGACAGCCTCGACACACACCGGGCTGACCCCTCGGCTTGACATCAAGGTTCATATATGCCAAGCGTGGATGACCACTCGGAAGATGGGGGTAGCTGGCAACGACTATTTCCATTTAATTTTGTTTTTTTTTAAAAAAACTCATATAAATACTACAAATTCAACCTATTTCAACTCATGACATCGACTTACAACTCAAATATAGTCTCTCAAAATATTTTTGTAACATCTGGTTCCTGGTACGTATATTTAAATTAAGTATTTTACATTTTGGCCTGGGACTCGGCGAGTTGGTGGCCCAACTCGTCGAGTAGAAGCGGTTTCGACACGAGAGTTAAGTGGCTGACTCAGCGAGTCAGAGACTGAACTCGATGAGCCTGTGCTGTCTGGATAAAAACCCTAATATGAGGGTTTGCACCCTATATAAACGTCTTAACTCAGCCTCCATTGTCCCTAACACTGTCCTCGAGTTCCATATCGAAACCCTAGCCATTTATGTGTTAAGGCCATTTTGGTGCTTTTGTTGACTTGTGAAGCTTGGAAGGAAGAAAAGGAGCTTGAGTATTCAACTTGGGGCTTGTGGATCCAAAAATCTCATTCCATCTTTAGATTAATCAAGGTAAAATGCTCCTGCTTTGGTCTTCCATTTGGTTGTTCATCTTTAGATTCTAGATCTTGGGTGCATTTAGGGCTTTCAAGCCATTTTGGGATTTAAGGAGTGTTATGTGGACTCTAGCCTTCAGATATGGGTCTTAAGAGGGGTCTGATGGCATAAAGGTGCCAACTTTAGGGCCATGAGAGCCCCATGCACATTGTAGGACACTTTATATGGATTTTTGAGCTAAAAACCCCATGCATGTGCATCAAGTTTGGAACTTTACGTATAAAATGGACACTAGGAGGCCAGATCTATGGTTTTGGTGTGTTAGACCTCATTTAAATCGACTGTATGAAATTGGTCAAGGCTGGAATCGGCGATTTGTTCTTGGCACTCGACGAGTCGGTGACCATTGTGCACCAAACCCCTTTCTATGAATGGGTAAGTGTTAGGAAGGAAGTCCCTTGTGGGTTTAGATGCGAAAAGGGACCTGGAAGTCATGGGACTCGGCGAGTGGTATGAGCAGACTCGGCGAGTCCATAGCAATCTCCCAATCTTTGAAGTTGGACTCGACAAGTTGTTCATACAACTCGGCTAGTCATAGATAGTACAAGTTCTTAAGTTGGATATGACCTTGACGTGTTCAAGAAGGAACTCAGCGAGTCGGATGAAGAGGTCCCGATGTTATGATTGAAGGAGAACCCGTCGAGTTTTTGCTAAACTCGATGAGTGGAGCCGGGGTTTTGTGCGGGATTAGAGAAGCATGGACTTGACGAGTTGGTAGGCCAACTCGGCGAGTCAGGTCAACTGAATGTTGACTTTGACTAAGGTTGACTTTGACTGAACTTGGCGTAACCATGTTTAGGGTTGTATCTGATATGTGTTGACTTGAAGGTTGTCGTGTAGGGATCAAGGAGTCGTTAAGAGCCGACTTGTGCGCCGAGGATAGTTCAGACACTGCACGATATCGAGGTGTGTTACTTTCCAGTAAGGGTGGGTCTAAGGCCACAATGCCGGCCCACCAAAAAGGGGTATTTAAAAGATAATGGTATTTGTGATAATTATCTTGGTCTGGTTATGTGTTGGTTATGAGGTTTATCTGGATAGTATGTTATGCATATGGTAGGGATTAGTTTCCCTGACAGTGGTCCTTAGGACCCAAGGGTAGGTCAGTACCCGGATATACCTGACTGTATGCTTATATCTGTAGATTGTATGCTAGTGGTAGGGGCGAAATAGTCCCCAGTTACCGGTTGAAAAATACCGATGTTGGTTACCGGTTGAAAGATACCGATGATAGTTACCGGTTGAAAGATACCGACAATATTGTATGATATGTGGTATGATGGGGGAACTCACTAAGCTTTTTGCTTACAATTTTGGTTTTGGTTTTAGGTACCTCTTCGTCAAAGGGGAAAGAGTCGGCAGTGTAACAGCGCATCACACACACGCATGTTTCCGCAAGAAGTTTTTGGGACTGTACTCTGATTTTTAATACTTATGATGTTGTGGTTTGAGATACAAAATTATGATTTTGGAATGGAATGTTTTATTAACAAGGTTTTGGTAAAATGTTTATTAAATGCGTTAATTCAAAAATGAAAATTTTGGCCTTGAAATTTGGGTCGTTATAGTCTTCTTCGACATCTTCATTACGCAAGTTTGATGTCGTGCTTAAAACGACTCTAAAAGTTATTCAGGAGGCAGAGCAGATGAACGAATGACTACCAGAAGAAAATGCTGAGAATGCACGGTGGAGGAGAGAAGATACATACAAATATTTCTTGAGGCGGCTAATGATCGACTCATGCAAGATTACTTTGTGGACGACGCCAACTTTATACGATATTATTTTCGTCTTTGGTTCCATTTGCATAAATCTATGTTGTTGCATGAGATTACTTTGTGGATGATGCCAACGTTATATGATATTATTTTCGTCTTCGGTTCCATATACATAAATCTCTTTTGAAAGAGTATTTCGAGCTTTGAAAAAACGTTGACATATTCTTAAATATCCTGCGCCGTATATGGAGGAGAAGAAGATGAGCGAGATGATGTATACTTGTATCATATTGCTTTATATGATTCTCGAAGATGAAGAAATCCAATATGTGAGTATAATGCAAACGAGATCGTTCCACCGATACAAGCTTTTGAGGTTGGAAGCACAAAGTCTCTGTCGAGGAGGGCACTAGTTAATGATGTTGAGACATATCATGTTCTTAATAAGGACTTAACGAAACATATTTGGAACGTTAACCACATTGATCTAAACATGGAACCGATCGACGATTTCGAAGGTCAATTGTCCGATGAAGATGTTCTTTAGGCCTATCTAGGTTTTGTAATTTTAGTTTGTATGCTTTTTATTTTAAATTCTATTTTTTGGTGTATTTTTTGTTATTTTGAATTTCTATGTTTTTATTTTAAGTTTAATGAATTTTTAGTTTTTAAAAATTCTTATGTTTCAAAAATTTATTTTTTTATAATAAAAAAAATATAGCATGATAAGTATGGCAACCCGTGCCTACCAAATGGCAACTTTTCGTAAGAATGCGCAAAGTGTGATATGGTGCCTACACGTACCTTGACAAATGTGACACAACACCCACCAGTCTAATAGGCATGATAATGGCACAGTTGTAGGTATTTTTTATGAATTTTATTAATTACCAATAGGCATGACAACGTCGCCACGTTTGTCTGATGATTTTGGAATACATTTCGCTTTTATTATATTTACACATTACAAATTTCATGTTAATATAGATTTCATATTAAACATAATATTAATACATTAAAATTTCCAATAAAATATTTGATATTTAATTTTTTTTTTAGAACAGACAAAATGCATTAAACTAAGCGAAATTAAATTACCTCCTACCTTTTATGCCTACAATTATTCCTACCAACTAAAATTATGACAAATCATCATTCAATTTAATTGTAATTGATATATTCCTAATATCGTCTTAATGAGTTAGTTAAAAAAATATGGAATGATGACACTTGTTATAATTTTATTGGGTAGGAACATTTGT